TGGAATTTGTCATCTTGGACCATGACCTCCACTGCAGGCTGAACTGATACCGTGTAGGGTGGGTGCAGACTACCGGATAAGGATACCACCTCTGTCTGACCTCACCACATTACCATCTCTCTAGAGCTCAACAGGGTAGCATTTAAGGTCACATGGCACAGGCATTTCAAAAAAATAAGGTTTTTATTGTCTTGAATGCAAACATTTTTAAAAAATGTATTGTAGTGTTGAACACAGCTGGTGGAAACGTGCTTCTCAACAGCAGAGTATCGGAAGGCGACGCTCAGGGTGACACGGGCCAGAGGGGGCCTCTGATCAGACAAGGCTGTTCTCTGGGTGATTTTTTGTTTTTCAGAGTGCAAGGTGTAATTGTTTCTTCAACGGGACCCTGAAACAATCACCAAAGCTCCCGAGAGAAAAAATGAACCATTTACACAATAAACTGAAACCTGAAAAAGGCAAAGAGCACAGTGTCCCAGCGGTGCTACAAAACAAGCAGATGAGTACATTTTCCTTTTACGGGCTGTGTGAGTAAGATCCGGCTGCAGAAACAGCAGGGGCATGGGTAGGAGAGCTGTGTTCCAGCTCCTGGTGGGAAACGGCCTGGGAACCGAGTATCCCAGGGCTGAGCCCTTCATACCTTTTAATTGCAGGATGTAAACTCTATGGAAACGTAGAAAACTTCAGATTCTACCAGCCCTCCACAATCTCCTGAGACTTCCAGCTCTCTCTTAAGAAACCCAGAAGAGAATTCTTCGGGTTACTGATGCCCAGGGTTAAGACTGTGGAACCATAACTCTGACTGGGAGATGGAGTTGCATTTTGCTACATAATTGGAAAGGAATTTTACAAATATAAAATTCCATGAAGTAAACACACACATGCAGCCATGTGTAAATGCACACACACACACATACACACACACACAATCCCACATTCAACATCCAAATTTCCCTTTTCCTTCTCAAAGCTTGGTTTTCACAAGCTCCAACAGGGAAGCAGTCCCTCGTCTGGTAAACCGGGACTGCCAGGTCCTCAGAATGAAGAGCCAGTAGCTGACCTGTCATCATCCACTCTCTCCCAGGCCAGCCCAGGCAGAGGCCCAGGGGAGGCCTGAACGCTTCTTCCACATTCCTGAAGCCTCTGCCCGGCTTCCCGGGGCTTGGATTACACAAACCTGCCCAGCAGATTGAGGTGTGAACTGCACCATACACAAAAGTCGCTGAGCTTCACGACTTCGACCCCCAGACTCTCCGTCCCCTCTCCTCAGACCCAGGCTCTTTAACACCATAAGGCATCAAGGGCTCCGGCCAATACCACATCTCAACGGCTATACACACACACCTCCCAGCCTCTTCCCAAATGAGACCAGGACCCAGAAACACTTTGGAAAGGGAAGTTCCACCATGTGGTGGGTGGGTTTCATCTACGGCAAAGAGCGCAACGGGAAGCTGGCATCTCTAGGGAAAGGCAATTCTCCCCATCACAGAAAAATCAGAGGAGCCCAACTCACACACAGGTTTGTCAGGAACCACAGGGAGGGGAGCCCAGGCAGACAGGCAAAGGCCACTGGGAACTGGGTGACACCAGGAAGAGAAGGGGACTTCTGAGAGCGTGGAGGGTGATGAGAGGTGACTCCCTAAAGCGGGCTAGGCCCGTGAGGGCAGCGCTGGGGCCTCAGCACCCACACCCCCTGCACTGACAGACCCATGGGGCAGACCCAGCTCCACTTTTGATGGGTGCTGAGAACATACGGTCTCCTTCAGCTCACAATCTCTAAATCAGTGTCAACATACCTGCCACTTACGGTGCTAGCCTCAGAATTTCTTCCAGATAGAAAGCCAGGGCCCTCAAGGAAGGGGCACCCTCTAACTTCTCCTCAGACACCCATAACTGGGCCCAGGTTGCTGGTGGGGGAAGCCAGGCAGACGATGTAGTGGACAGGCAGAGCTGGGGCCCTGGGGGTGGAGGTCGGGGGGAGGCAGAATCGAGCAAGGATGGCGCCAGCCAGTGCCACTCACTACCACACCCGCTCACCTAGGGCAGGACAAGGGACTTGGCACCTCCCTGGGGTTTGCGGAGCCACTTCCTCTAAGAATCCACGCTTATACTTCTATCAGCTAGAGCCGAAAAACCCTAAGGACTGACCTCTAGAAAGGGAGGTATGGACCAGGTCACAGGGCAGGCAATGAGGGAAGTCACGGGCACAAGCTCATGAACGCACAGCGGGGCGACAGCTGACATCCGTACCCCCACCTCCGGTCTTCCTGCCGGGGTGGTGTCCCCTCTCCCGCCCCATCCCCAACCCTTCCTCCTCCACAAGACCAAGTGCTGGGACTGCTTCCCTTGTGCCTGAACAGCAGCCTGAAAGCAGCAGTCGGCCCCAGGTTGGCGCGTCCTCAGGCAGGCACCCCAGCTCTGTAAACGGTCTGGGACAGGAGGGACCCAGCCCGCCTTCAGAAAGCCGGGGCGGTGCCAGCTTTCTGTTCTTGTACCTCCCACTCATTATGAGACAGCTGTGGCCACGTGGAGGGCGCTGATGGCACCGAAAGATCGCACAGAAACACCCTTGTACAGATTTCCGTGCTTGACAGGCTTGTTTTTCTTTTCAGATTGATCTTCTTACTCTCCAAACTGTCCGCATTTAAAGTTTTCTCTACGGGTGTAGTGGCCAGAATGGGGGGTGAAAAATGAGTGTAAACAAACCAGAGTGGCCCAGGGTGGAAATCACGGTCCGGCCTCTCTGGCTGGAGTCATCGGGCAAGGAAACTTCAGGGACAAGAAACAGCTTTGCAGCAAGAGACACAGCTTTGTGGCTTGACAGCCACGGCCATCAGAAGCACCAAAAGAAATGAACTGAAGGGGATCTCTACAAAATAAAAGCAGGCGAATCCTTAGCGGTCTGCCGGGACACACACACTCACGTCTCACACAACCTAACAGCCTGAAATATCTGACGGAACGTGGAATCATGGGCGTTAATTCAGCAAAAGGGAGAGGTAGGCCAAAGAAGCAAAAGGCCAATTTTATATCCCACGGAGTTTTAAAAAAACAAAATTATTCCCCAGCAAGAGGTGGGGAGAAAGCTATTGATGTCAGAGAGTCCTTGGCTCGGCCCCCACGCTGGCCGGTCAGTTGGTTGGTCGGTGGTCTGCATCTTTCACAAAGAAGGCACAGGAGTCGGGGGAAGGGCTGAGCTGGCAGCCCCCTCGAGGCCCTCAGAGATAGCGGCTTGTTGTGGTTTTTGTTTTTTCCCTTTTGACCTTCGAGGAATTCTTACCAAGGTCTTCACCTTTTGAGGAGTGACCTCATGCTCCTCCTGGGATGGAGGGAGAATTCTGTGGCCATTTCCCAGAGAACCACTGAGGACCAGTCCACTGCCTGAGGCTCAGCCCTCAGGAAGGTTCTGGAAGCCTGCAGACACGGTCTCTGGGATGCTGAGGTGGCACCTCCATGCTGATCTCTCTTGTGCAGGGCTGAAGCACAGACAGGGGAGCGGGAGAGACAATGCCAGGCCGATGGTGGACAGACAAAATCCTTCTCTTCTCTGTCCCCCATGAGCCCAGGGGGAGAGGCTGGGTCCCTCTGAGCAGAGGCCTCGGGGAACCAGAGGGGATTCTGAACACTACTGAACTTCAGGAGGCCCCCACAGCGCCCCTCATCCCACGGCTGCGGGCTCCCCCAAAGCCACCCCAGACTCCCGCACCACCAGCACTGGCACTGCCCGCTGCTGCTCCGGGTGTCCCAGTGGGACATTAAATCAGTCTCCAGGGAGGAGGCGCCGTGCTGGGCTTCCTGCACTTCACAGACGGCGTCCTCCCATGCAGAGGGTGAGCATGGCCAGGACCAGCCCTTCTGCGGCTCCTCCATCCACCCTTTCCTCGCTCCCAATTGCAACACACACTCCAGAATGGCCCATTATCCTTAGCCATCTCCTACTCTGAGCAGATGTGATGGCACAGCTTGACAGTCTGACCTGTGACCCCAGAGATGACACAAGGGTTGGCCCCTCAGAGGGCTGCCAGTCCACACTCAATTCCTTCATCAAAACAAAAGGCAGGGCTGACTTTGGGCTCGGTGACATCTTTGGTCCAGAACTGCTATGGTTTGGGGTTCCAGCTGCGTGATGGCAGACAGTGGCCAGGCCGAGGACAGCGAGGTGGAGCCCAGTCCTTCAGAGGCTTCAACTTGAGGGTAGGAGCTTCCATTCAGCACTCCTGGCTCTTCGAGGCCGCAGCTTAGGAGCAGTGGAGAACCCGGGCAGAAGGGCCATGCGTGAGGTGACCCTGAGGGGCCCTGGGTAGAATCCCGCCCGTGGTTCCCAAGTCAGCAAGGCTATGCGCACGCAGTGGCAAAGGAAGCAGACTCCGGTAGATTGGCTCACCACTCAGTGTCCAGGCCAGAGCATAGCCCTGCTGCTCCTGCTTCCATCCCGCCCCCGTGCATTCACACCCACACTGTGCTCTGGTGCTCCACGGTCTCTGAAGAAGGCACACCCCTGGCAGCCCACCATGCCTGAGCCTGAACTCAAGGCCAGCTCTCCCTATAAGGATCAGCCTCCGACCACTGCCTCAGCGGGACCCACCACTGAGCAGGAGGGGAGAACTGCAGCTCAGACGGAGCTGGGAAGTGCCCTCAGCGTCACCTATCCTGAAGAGCAGGCTGTCTTCTCCCATCCAGATATTCCATTCGTGGCTGCATGGGCCTCCCCCTGGCAAACCACCGGCCGGACAGGACTAGAGACAGCAGGCGTGTCCCTTTGTCCGGGCTCCCTGAGGGCAAGGGACTGAGGTCACTGAGTGAGAGAATTCACAGCAGAGGGCGCCCAGACCTGGGCTACTGCTGTTAGCAGGACCCAAACCTGCTGTGGACCTGAGCGTGGTATTTGGGGCGGCCCAGGGGACCATCAGGGTGGGAGGGGGCCCTGAGGCTCTGCGTCAGGAGCGGCTGGGGGCGCGGCCCCCTCTCCAAAGGCAAGGGTCTCCATGGAATCTCATGCAGCTGCATGCCAGCTAAGCGCTAAGACTCGCCCATTCTCTTGCCAATTCTGGTGACGGCCTCAGACGCCTGCTCTGGCAGCTGGGCTGGGTCTGTCAGAATGGAGGTGGTGGTACTCAGGCGGCGGAGGGTGTTCAGCACCACTGCAAGACAGGAGTGGGGGTGAGCCGGGAGATGAGCACATGCCGCCCTGCGAGCCCAGGGTCTTGTATGTGTCCTGCGTACACACCCCATGTGGTGACTTTTCTGCACTGCAGTGTGGGAACCACTGAGCTGGACTGAAGGAAGGAGAGATGGAAGGCCTACGCTGACGCCTGGGCACTCACATCTTTCTGCCTTTAGGATACTCCAAAACTCTAGTGGGAACTGTAGACAGGTGAAGAACCCTAAATTGTTCCTGCTTGCCACAGGCTTTGCTCCACTTGTTTTAAGTTTCGATAGCCTTAATCTGGATCCCTGGGTGGTGCAAATGGTTAATTCACTTGGCTGCTAACCAAAAGGCTGGAGATTCAAGTTCCACCTGGAGGTGCCTCAGAAGAAAAGCCTGGTGACCTACTGCTGAAAAATCAGCCACTGAAAGCCCTATGGAACAAAGTTCTACTCTGACACACATGGGGCTGCCATGAGTTGGAACTGACTCCATGGCAACTGGTATAGGCTTAACATATGAAAATAGCTCTGTAAGTTATTACAAGAGTTAAACAAGAAAACATACTGGAAAGCACCTGATCCAGGGCCTGGCAAATAGCAGGTGCTCAATAAACAGAGGCTGCGTTTGGTCAGAGTGACACACACCCTGACTGTAGGAAGCCAAGGTGAGGACCTCGGAGACCTGCTTCCCGCTTCTCCAAGTGGCCTTTCTGGCTCAGGGCCACCTGACTGGTGCCGTTCTCGGGCCCTGGGCATTGTTCATGGGGCTCCTTACAGGGGTGGTCTCGGTTTTCTTAGGTCCTGCCCTCAGCTAAGGGCCTCCAGGATTGGCACCCAAGGTTTGTTAGGTCCCCCACTCCGGCCCTGCCGCACTCACTTGGCCTGAGGATGGGCAGGGAGCAGCGCTGGTCAAGCCAGAACAGTGCCGTCCGGTGGAGCTCCTCCAGGCTGCTGGTGGACACCATCCCCTTGAAGGACTCAAACAGTGGCTTGATGATGATACTGAACTGCACGACACTTCGTTAAAGAAAAGGTCTGTGTGAGGGAGGCCCAGGACGTGTAACAAATTCCAGTCATGAGCCAGTCTCCCTGTTACTGGTTTCCCTCGGGACTGGCCAATAATTGTCCACAGAGAATTAAGAAAACGAGAGGGCGAGAGAGTGCTCTAGCCAAGGTAACAGCATCCTCACACTGGCTGTTTGCATCTGACCGGTCGTAACCCCCGAGCAGGCAGGGAACGGGGATGGGGTGGGTCCTTGAGTCGGGAATGGGTCGTCGTACGTGATGTGAGCATGGCAGGAACACCGCAGGCAGAGATGGAGGCGGGTGCCTGTCTAGACAATGCCGGTCTCGTGTTAAACGTGGCAGCTCTTGATCATACTCAGCATGTCTCCCAATCCCCTGAGAAAACGGGCTCAGAGAAGGCACGAGGCCCATCTCCTCAGTGCCTCACCCTGACCCGGGACCATGCCCACAGTCCCCACTCTGCAGCCATTTTACCAAGATGCATCTGACTCATGCCAGCTGCAGCAGCTGTGTGAACGGTAAGGGCCCAGGACCAAACAGTGAAGCTCCACCCTTCTTGGTGTCCCGTCTGCCCCAGCGGGGTGGTGCGTACCCTCCTGGTGCTGCCAGGATCACTGAGCCTGCTGCCGGCTCTTGGGGTCCCTTCCCCTTCCCACGTTGCTGCTCTGAAGTGGCTGAGCACTCTGTTTACTTCTCAAGGACCCGTTCTGTCTCCCAGACCTTCCTGCAAGGCGCCCAGGAAGCCCCAACCCTGACTCAGTGGCGGACAACAGCCCCACCCCACACCGCAGGCCAGGCTCACTCTCTCCTCTGAGACAGGAAGAAGCTCGGGGACACAACACACCCGTCTACAGATAACCTTTCTCAAGAGAAGAGAGGGTCAGTGCCTGCTTTTTCACTGCACTGGCTGGGGGTGGGGGAACCAAGAAAACCAAAGATACAATCCAGAACTTCCAATTCTGCAGGGTGCGGCTCTTCACGTATTCGTCAAACATGTCTTTCATGTGATCGAACTGGCGTCGGGTGACAGGGACACCGGTGGCAGGGAGCAGCTGCTGGCAGGAGCTGAAACAACAAGGGGCACACTTTGGAGCAGCTGGGGGCAAATCAGGGCCCGGTGGCTGGTGCCTTGTCGGGCCGGCCGCCTGGGGCTGCAGTGTGGAGGAGAGGAGAACCCTCGCCTGCCTGGCCTGGCACCACCCACAGCCTCACATGATGGTGGCATTGAGCGCCTCGATCTCCTCCCGCAGCCGCCGGGCCTCCTCCTGCAGCTGGCTCCTCTCCTGCTGCAGCTTGGTGATGTACTCCACTGTCTTCTGCAGGGTGATGGCGTGGCTGGTCTGCGGTGGGGGGCAGGCGGGTCAGGGGCAGCACCCCAAGGGAGCCTGGGTTCCCCGGCACTAGCAGCAGCTCAGCACAGCGCAGAAGGCGGTTCCGGCCAGCTCCCCAGCCACCCCTACACACTCAGTCAGCTTACCAGCTTGGAATTATTAGAAATCAGACTATTCAGGGTGTCAAAGCCGATCTTGATGTTGAAGCGCCTCTTCTGCTCGGCTGAAATGTGCTTCATCTGCCGGTTCTGTTGGGGAAAAGGCTGTCACTCTTGACACGGGTCAGGCTGGCTGGCCATACACCAGGCCCAGTCCTGAGCACGTCCCAACCCCATGCGAGGCCTTGGGGCAGGTTATGACCCAGGGGCGCCCACCAGGCCAGGCTACAGAGGGGTGTGGAGGGAGGGAGGTGACCAAGAGCTTGGCTGCTCCCACTAGGAGACACGATGGGGCAAGACAGGAAACGCTGGGACACCATCGCTGCCAAGTGCAAGGAGCAAACCGGTAAGCGGCCATCAGATAAATGTGCTGAGTGCGCTTTTGGACTGAATGTCCAATCTCCCATCTCCTGGCCCTGTTTTTGGCTCTGGGCTCGAGCCCATGCAGAGGTCTCCGACATGCCCAGCACTCCCACTGGGCAGATTGTGGGGAGGCCAGCTAGTGGGCGGGTAATCGAAAGGCTGATGTAATCCTGAGATTAAAGCAGCAACCCCCAATATGCCTAATGCGCCCCAGACCGGTGCAGCCGGCTGCTCTGTGGGTGTGCTTTCCAGCAGTTCCCTAGTGAGGGTACAGCTGACCCAAAGGCTCCTCCCCACCCTCCCGAGGGAATCCAGCCCCGACAGATACCTTTAACACTGCCACATTCTTGGGGTCTGCAGGAGATTTCCCTGAGCAGTTGTTCTGGGGAGACTGGGGGCTGGGGCTCTGTTCAGACGCACATGGAGAGGCCTGCCCAGAGCTGGGGCACTCGCGACCTGAGAAGACCGGAGACTCATCTTGGGAACAGAGCTCGGGAACTGTATGCGGCAAACAGGGCCAGAAAGGCTTTCCCCAACAGCAGTCTTCACAGACCAGGGAAACCTGACAAGTCCCAAGACTCAGAACCTTGCTTGTAACTCCAAGGGGCTCTAAGCAAAAAGAGATACACTCTGGCCTAGATAAATGCGGTGCCCAGCTGCCCCAGGTGTCAAGACGATGAGCAGGCGTGGCCTGGGCTCAGCCCGTCCGACTCAGCCACCTAGAAAGCTGCCTCCAGCACCCTGCGTGCCAGTATGTCTGTAAGGCTGTCACCCTGTGCAGTAAGGACATGGGTGTGTTTTCATTCTTTAAATTCTACGTGTATGTCTTCTTCTTTTTACCACACCCACCTCTGAAGTTTTCTCATTAGAAAAGCAAAGGCATCCTTTCACCCACACAGAGCGTGACGGAAAGGCCTGTGGCCGAGGCAGCCGTGCTCCCATTCCTGGGATCTGTGTAAGGGACACCCTAGGGCGATGTGGTGGCTCCCTCTGGGAGCCATTCCATTTTACTGCAGCAAAGGGCCTGCAGTTCATCACTCTCCACCACATGGATTTTCCCCAGTGACCTCCAGCCGGCATCACAGAGAACTGTGACAGTGCACCAGTGTGATGCTCCGTGGACGAGGCACGGCGTGGCCCAGCCTCTCCCTCGGGACCATGCTGAAGGCCTTGCTCTCTGAAACCCTGCTTGGGCAGGTCCCCACACTGTCCACTCCTTTCACGTTGGAGACCTTTCCTCACCGGGCCTTCCTGACACACAAGGAAGACAACGGTTTGCGTGGAGCTCCAGAGCAGCAATGCCAAGGCACCAGCTGGCCCTGCTGTCTCTCCAGACGGCAGGTGGGCAGTCAGCCCTGTCCTGAGCGCCTCGCCAATGCTAAAGTGGGCCCGCAGACGTGAAGTGCTCGGATCACCGTGAGGCCGGTGCTGAGAAGAGGCTAGCGGCCTCAGGGGCCACGGCTGCTCCTCAATTCCTTTCTGGGATGAGAACTGGCAGCTCAGGGCCAGCCACTTCTGAAGCAGTTTAAGAGTATTATCCCCAGGGCGCCAGCTGCCTACACCCAGCACATCTGCTCCCCTCCTGCCTCAGTTGGTCCGACTGCTGCCTATCCCGACGCTGCTGAGCAAGGGCCTGAGATCTCACTGCCCCATCCTGAGGACCAAGCCCAAGCCTGAGGACTCCCATGCTGGACCTCACAGCCCAGGGCGGGGCGGGGGGCACCCACGCTGGACCTCATAGCCCGGGGTGGGGGGACACCCACTGCACCCATGCTGGATCTCACAGCCCGGGGCAGGGGGATGCCCACTGCACACACGCTGGACCTCGCAGCCCAAGGGGGCCACTCCTGTGCTCCTGACAGAGCCCCACCATCCCACTGGAGTGAATACTCACTGGGACCCGCACTGGGAAGCTGGGGGCCACCCCCATGCATTGGGCCCTGCTCGCCCTTCACCAGGGTGTCTGGCACGGTGCCTGGGGAGAAGAGCCGGGAGATAGGAGGCTGGCTGCCAGGGGTGTGGCCAAGGTCTGCCACCAGGATGCTGCTGTGGAACTCTGTGACTCCAGGTGCCTATAGTGACACAAAGAGAATGGTCACCCGACCGCAGGCACGTGGCAAGGCAGGAGACCAGTCATGTTACAAGGGCAGAGAGGGTCTGCCTAGGGCCCCGGCCCCTCCCCACAATAAGCAAGCCCGTGCTTCTCACCCTGGCAATGGTGGCGGGTGCGATGACCACATTTGACTGGGACACGGTGGAAGCCAACATCCCTTCTCTCTTCAGAGGGCCTGAGGTCATAATCACTGCTTGTGGTTGTCCTGGAAAGGCAGCTGACAGAGCAGGGGAGGGTGAGGGCCCCGGGCCATGCAGTGGCCGGCCTGGCTCTAGAGCCTGCACCCCAGTTACCACTGAGCAGGAACAGAAGGAACAGACGACCCCTCCTGCCACTGAGACGCTTGGCCCTCAGCGCAGGGAAAGACAAAGCCACCAGGGTGGCAAAAACACTTCTGCAACTTGTCCCTCAAGGGGACAGACTACAGACCCAGGAATGAGATGGTCAGGACCGTGGGTTTTCAAACTGTGGGTGAGATCAACTTAAAGAAAAAAAAAAGATATCAGCTAGAAGAGACCACACATCTGTATTATTTCATGAAACTTGTGTTTCACTGAAACATGGGTGTGGGGGTGGGGGACATGGCTTCCTGCCCTGTCTGTAAGACCTGGGAAAACAATCATCCTCGGCTGCAGCTCCACTTGACTCACCTGGGGTGATGCAAGCGTTCTTCAACACCAAGGAGACAGGCTCTGGTTTGGGAGCAGGCACTATTTTGGGGGGATGCTTGGGCCTCCCCCCAGTCAAGGAAACAGGTTTGGGGGGCACGAAAGTTAAATGGGGTTGGCAGGGTCCAACCATTGGTGGCTGGATGACAGAAGACAGCGCCAGGCCACAGGATGAGGCTGAAGGGGTGGGGGGATGCGTGGTGATCACCAGGCCCTGGCTGTGGCTGAAGGTGGTGGCGGAAGCGTCATGAGTGAGGGTGGCAGAGGCCGTGTGGGTGATGACAGAGGGGGGTTTGCTAACTCCAAACTTCTGTGCCTGCAGGAAGGCGGGGGTTGCTGGGGGACTCAGGGCGGGAGCAGGAGTTAGTGGTAATGTGGGTGAAGCAGGTGTAGGGGCAGGGCTAGGAGGGAGTAAGGGCATGGTGAAGATGGGAAGGAAGGGCTGGGGAACGCTCAGCGGGGGATCCAAGGCGCCAAAGTCTGTGGGCTGGACGTAAGGGTCCCCAGTGCGGGGGCCGTGGTCACAGCTCTGCTGCTCTGAGGGGTCCAGAGAGGCAGTGGCAGTGGGGCCAATGAAGCTGTCCTGGAGGCTCACAGTGGGGAGAGTAGCAGTTGGCAGGATGTTCTCCTGAGAAAGGAGAAGGAAGAAGAGAGAACAAAGGCTGGGGTCAGACATTCCCTTTCGCTTTCTGGCGCTATACACCACCAAGTCCAACAATGTGTGCCGGACGCCGTGACAAATCCCTGGACAGAGGGACAAGAAACCGCCTCCCCTCATCACACTGATCTCGGGCACAGATCTGCATTTCCCTGGGCATCTGCAGGCTCCAGTTTCCATCAGGAACCAACACTAGCACCGAGCTCGGACGGCAACTGCTCCATGGCCTATCTGGTTTCTCCAGCCCAGCAGGGTCTCCCCAGGGCCTCTGCCACCTTCCATTACAGGACAGAAGCAGCCTGGATCACAGCTGCCTCATGGGGTCCCCAGGACAGTTTCATGTGTCAACTTTTAGAGAGGTCACCTCCTCCTCAATGGGAGAGGCCACGAGAAATCAATTGTTCCGATCCCAGTCTCCCCAGAAGACACTCTCCCCAGAGCCAGATGGAAGAAGGCAGCGCTGGGTTAGTGGACTCTCACTGGATATGAGTGCAGCCCCAGAGCGCCTTACAGATGGGGAACCACGCCTCACTCAGCCCTGTGGCCTAGCGCCTGGGAACAAGCTTCTGCTGATTGCTGAGCAAAAAGGGAAAGAAGTATAAGAGCTTCTTTTTATGAATGGTCTGTGTTTTCTGTCTAGCTAATCCCATCTTAACTGGTCACAACAGAACTGCACACGGGATACGGGGAGCCCTGGGCAAGCACACGTGCTTCCTGAAAGAGCTTCCACGTCACAGACACCGAAGGGCACTCTCAGAGGGTTAGGGGAACTTCTTCATACATTACACATGAGTCAGTACACAACGGGGCAACCCCGAGTGCGCTAATTACGACCGTGCGGTCCTGCCCTGAGCTGAGCCCTGGCGCACAGCTCTGAGAACGAGCCTCATACCTGAGCAGGGAGGCGGATGGGATCGGGTGCAGGGGCAGGGGTGGGGGTAGGCAGCATGGAGCCAAACATGGAGCGGCTGGAGGAGAAGAGGTCTGAAAGACAAAGTTGGGGGACTTGTGAGCTTCTTGTGCCCATCATTCCCAAGGTCCAGACTAAGCAGTGACCCCGCCCGACCCAGAAGAATGCCACACCCTGCCGTAGAGAACTCTGCAGAGGCGCCCTTGTCGGAATCACACATGCTGGCAACGAGTCTGGGCTCTGGAAGACTCTCAGTCCCGCTCTTACAGCCAGCTCTTTCGTGCAGGAAACCGCTGTGTGGTGGCTGTGTCATGAGTGCCCCCTGCTGCCTAGACGGGGAACTGCTCGCACCCAGGGCCAAGCCTAAGGCTCAGCGACAGAACGCAGATTTCTTAGAGAATACTGTCCCAGAAAAACTTCCCAGGCCTTGCAGCTACGATGGAAGAAAGGTTTAGCTTTTCCCAAATTCTCAGTCTGCCCCCTGCCCATTCTACCCAGTTCTCTCTGAAAGGGAAGCCTCAATCTGCTTCATCCTGGTAAAGGGAGATCCAGGTAGTGGCCGTGCTCTCTGTCCCAGTGCTCACCCTGAAAAGGCTCGAACGTGTCCACGAAGTCCAGGTTGGGCTGCAGAGGAATCAGTCCCGGCTGGATCATGTCTGCGTTTCCCAGATGTGCTGTGGGAATCAGACAGGAGAGAGGTGTCATTCTGCCTTCTCAGACAATGCGGTAGAACAGAGAAACAGGACGGAACAGAACTTCCCGGCCCTGCTCACGTTCTAGATCCTTTCCAGGGGAACTGGTGGGGGTGTCTACCTCTGCAGGTTCCTGGCCATTCTCCCCTCAGAAGGCAGGAGAGAAAGGTCAGTGGGGTATCAGGGAATGGACACCTCCAGGAAGCTGTGAACAGCTAAGCAGAGATCCCCTGGCTCGATGGCTCCTCCCTCAGGGCTCAGCTCTCAGACCGCACGCCCCCAGGCGAGAGTCCATGCCCAGGACAGCTCCCAATTTCTCTAGTGAGTCACACCCCCAGCTAGGGGGCAGCATCAGAACTACGATGTTGATCCAGACCATTCCCAGGTGTCTGTTCTCACAGTGGCACTGAGGGACTGGCAGCTGCCCAGACAAGGCTCCCCTGCAGCCCCCACCCCACCAAGGACACATAGCCTCCTGTCAAACAGGGCTGTCCACTCTTTCACCTCCTCACACGCCTGCCCTAAGCCAGTGACCTGCAGCAGGCCAGAGCCGGGCCTGAAATGAAGCCTGGCCCGGGGGCCTGGTGGGGAAGGAAGAGCAGCAAGGTCTTCAAGTTCAAAGGACTCAGGGGCGGTCACCTATTTCCCGTGGGTTAGGCCAAGCCACAGGCTGGTGTGAAGACAGCGTGGAGAAGAGGGTGTCGCTGAACTCGGACATGAGCATGTCTGTGTCCAGCAGCGGGTCCTCCTCCATGGGGACCGGGGTCTTCCATCCATCCCCATGTTTGTGCCAATAGAGCGTGTCATCATCCTACCTCACAGAAGGGGAGGAAAGGTGAGAGAGGCAACGTAGAGCTTGGGATTCCCAGCCTCATGGTGCTGGGGACCATGCTGCAAGGGGCTGCACTGTGAGGAATGAGGTGAGCGGGGAGAGGAGTTCAGTCCAGCCCACCCAGAAGGTGAGGACTGGGCTGTCCTGGGCCCCTCACCAGGCCTTCCCGTGAGGAGAGAGGTGGCCCCTTCTCTAGCCTAAGGGGGAGTCCAGGTGCCCCCACCCCCATCCACTGCAGGGCTCACGGCTCTCTGTTGTCAGTGGAGGCTCCCGGGAGGGGTGCTCCAGCTTCCCCGGAGCATACCCACCTGTGCCAGGCTGGACAGGTCCTCATCCTTGTGCTGCTGTAGCTACGGGGAAGGGAGAGGGGATGAGGTCGTCCCCTTAGGCCCTGGGTGGGGTCAGGCCCTCAGCCACACCTCCCAGGGAGCAAGGGACCTCTCGGGACATCTTCTGGAGCTCTGGGAGGCAAGAAAGGAGAGGGAGGCTGCCCCTGCTATCCCCAGGCCAGTGCCTGGCACATAGGAGATTCTTAGCCAGCGTGGAATCAACAGCCCCAGTCCATAGCTGGGGAAACCAAGAACAAAGGCCATGTGACCGCGGCAGGCCTAGCGCTCAGGCTGAGGCCAGAGCCTTGGATCCCTGCCTTCTCCTTGACTTCGCAGCCCCACGCGGGGGAGCTTGAAGCCTCTGGCACTGGGAGCTAGTGCCCTGAACGGGACTCTATTCCTTCCCTCCCCTGCGGGGCCTTCCCGAATGTGCTCTTTAGGAGCCAACGCTGGATACCCTTTTCTTGAAATAGGTTCTCCACTTGTGGTATTCCCTGATGACAATCTCAATGCGGCTTTTCCAGTACTTCCCTTCTGTGGTGATGGCCTGTAGCAGGAACAGAGGGTAGAATAAAAAAGTTTCTTGGCTGATTACCACAACTCAGCAAGTAAAAAGAAAAGAGTTAGAAGCTGGAAGTCCGCGTGGATGCCAGCTCAGAATGGATTCATGTTGTCACTCACAAAGCGCACCACATCTCCCTCTCGTCCGTACCACAACTGGCCCTCCAGCTGAACCTGCACTTTCAGGACCTAAGCTCTCCCAGGGGCCTCGGCGGACCACTCTTGGGAAGCCGGGCTGGAAGTCCAGGGCAGAGCTGAACGCTTGCGTGGGGAAGTAGGGCCGTTCTACCCCAGCCTTTGAGGAACCTGCAGAAACTCACGGCGGCCCCTTTCCTACTTCCAAAGGGTAAAACATAATGGCCAATCACAGAATCTCAGCATCTAATCTAGACCTCCGTGCATCTAATCCAATCTTTCCATCACGGGAGGCATAAATCCCTTTCACAGTATCCCTTAACTCATCTGCTTAGAGACTTCTCCCTGCCCCCTCTTCCCAGCTGCTGCTGAATTGATTCAGACTCATGGCGACCCAATGCGTGTCGGGGTAGAACTAGGCTCCACAGGGTTTTCAATGGCTTAATTTTTCAGAAGTACATCACCAGGCCTTTCTTCTGAGGCACCTCTGGGTGGACCTGAACCACCAACCTTTCGGTTAGCAGCTAAGGGCATTAACTGTTTGACCACTCAGGGATGAAGAATTCACCACTTCCTCAGATAGCCCACCTCACTTTTAGATTCCTTTTTTTTTCTTCTTCTTTTGGTTGGAGTATTTTAAAGCAAGTCCCAGGTATCATATCATTTCATACATGAATACTTTAGTGTGTGTCTCCAACTGTAAGGAACCTTTTCTTAAGCATGATTACAATATTATCACCATACCTAACAAAATGATATTTCTTAATATTGTCTAATATCAGAACATGTCCAACTGTCTGAAAACTGCCTTTCACTAAGTTACTTTTTAGATTGGGTGTTTTTTCCTTGTATCAGAAAAGATGTGCTTGAACAAAACTACAACAATGCAGAAGAGTATGAATGAGCGAGAGTCTCCCCTCCTCTGCCACCCTACTCGACCCCACTCCCCGGAGTATCCTCTGTTAAACGACTTCTGGGTATCCTTCTAGACATTTCCTATGCATGTATAATCAAAAAGAAACACACTTTTGGTTCACTGTTCAGCCTGGGACTGGACAGCCCCGTAAAACCAAATGAGACTAACGAGGAACAGGAGTCCAGTGACAAGGGCCAGAAGGCAGAAGGGGACAAGGAAGCTGGTGATAGGGAAACCAAGGTTGAGTAAGGATATTGTTGATGTGTTGTGAAATTGTTAACCATTGTCATAGGGCAACATTTGTAGTAACTGTTAAATGAGAAACTATTTTGTTCTGTAAGACTTCATCTTAAGTGAGAATAACAGCACCAATTGGAAGAGCGTAGTCAAGGTCACTGAACTGTGCATGTAGAAGTTTTTGAAATGGTGTATCTTTGGCTATGTGTATTTTCACCAAAAAACAAAATGTTGTGAAGTTAGAGGGTTGATATGTTGTGGGGCTGTTAACCAATGTCATAAAACAACATGTGTACT